CGAAGTGGTGGATTAAAAACATAATAATGAACGACGATGATAATTTATAGCTTGACTAGGTATTAAAAAATTAAATCGTGACGTGATTCTAATAATATATGAAAATTGAAATACAAAAAAGCTAAATAAAATTTTAACAAAATAATGAAGCAAGTAACGCGTGAATTGTGGTCCGTGTCTTGCTGAAATATATATAGGTGATAATAAAATTGTTCTCTAGTTTGTTAATGCCAATCTGTTGAGTATATATATACATATATATATAAATATTGCGCCTTGTGTATTATACATATTGTACGCAGAATATAAATTTGAACATTACTCGTTTTCATAAAAATTAAGCGCATTGTTATTTTGTATGGTGCCATACGGTTTTTTCTAAAAGACGCATCGTAACGAGATGATATGATGATTAATAATAAAGATTTGAATGACTCAAATACATGTCTATTTATTTTAATAATACCCATTCCATTATAATTTTAGAAATCATTTCAATTTTCAAGACAATCGCATTGATTCGCAAATAAAAATTTCACCTTCGGTTTGAAATAGATTGATTCGAAATGATATACAGTATAGTTTATTATTATAATTAGTATAGTTCAACATGCTTCTATAGTTCGGAAATTCTTTTGTCAGCAAAACAATAATGTTCATTCATTTTTTCCAATTTGAGGTCCAAAAGTGATATCGTCGCTTCCCTCGTGCCTTTATTGAATCCCGAGGCATCGAAATTTTCAGCTTGATCGTGAGTTGGAAACAAACGCTTAAATTTCATGTTTTTGTAGATAATACAATACAATACATACATAATAATTTTCTTTGGGCTAAAAAAATCATCTTGTTGATGTTAGAATTTTAAAGAGTAACAATACAAATATTTCTTTATTTTGTATCTTTAATTTATAGATCGGGATTTATCTTTCTCACTAAAATTACCGATTTTATTTATGCAAGATAGCAAATTTAATTGACTGATTGTGATTGACATGCAAGAATGCCGAATTGGTGTTAAACTTGCGGTCAAATTATCCAACTTTGGCGCCACTTCTTGTTGACTTTGGCGATTGGAAGATTTTGGATTTGTCAGCATTTCCAGATAAAAATCAATATACAATATTGATGCCAATTTTCTTGGAATACTTCTTTAATTACTTTTTCCTCTTTTTCCATTTTCAAAACTTGTTCACAGAAAATGTTTTTCCATTTGACAGGGCCAGAATTTTTCTTCTAAAGCTTCCACTTAACATATTATATTTAGATAATGTTTCTCTGGTTAAACCTAATTTCAATTAAAAATGTTTTAAAATTAATATCATTGAAATTAAAATCCTTTTTCATGTAATCAACTTAAAAATAAATCTTTTGAAGAATTATATAAGGTTAAGAATACCTATAGAAGATTTACTGTATTAATTATGGAAGGACAATCGAGATCGATTTTTTCATTGAAAATTCATTAAATGGTTTTTTTCTTCTTTTAAAAATGCAATCGATAATTCCAATCTAAACCATTGAGTCAAAAACCTTTATCTTCCACCTTTGTTCTATGTTCAGTATAGCTTCCCAACTTTTTTCTTTTTATTTGGAGCACTTAATAAAAAGAGAAAAAACTTTTATAGATTATCCTCTTCGCTCAAAGACTTTTAATTCAATTTCTTTAATACCGTACTAAAATCAGAAAAATGTTATTTATCAATTTCAGTGATATTATTATACTCATTGTTTCTAATAAATTTTTCTTTGAGTGATTTCTTAATAAAGTACTCTATTTATTAAAGTATTTACATTTGAATTACGCTTTATTAGAATTTTTTATTTAATTATTGCTGAAATAGAAAATATTTCCTGGCAAGAATTTTTATTATTTTCTAATACTTTGATAAAGAAAAAATTTCTTTTTATTTATTCCTGCTCGATAATATAATCAGATTTCGAATGAAACAACTCAACTTAAAATTACATCGTTCATAGACAAATGGTCGAAAATTTGATAAGAGTTAACCAAGAGGTCTAATCTTATAGGAGTCAATGATGCGGGGTCGAATATAAGCGAGAATCATTGATCCAACGTGAATTTTATAGTGGGGAAAAATATGCTCCGAAATGTCAAAGAGATAGTGGAGTGATAAATTTTATGGATATAAATGACTTTTGCATAGAGAATGTATAGTTAATTGGTAATATATCGCCGCGTTAGAGGAGAAGTTGCAAAGATTGAAAAGAAGAATGAATAAATAGTCAGCTAATAAGAGAGAACATGCTTTTTCATTTTAAAACAGCGAATTAAGCCTTTAATTTCACACCCGGGGCAATAAAAAGCCATTCATTTACTGTGAATACAGAGCAACGCAAAAAGTTCTTTACGAGTTTCGAGGGAAAAAAGGAAAATAAAAATTGAAATATTTTAGTAACTCTACCAAAAAAGACATTTTTATGGTTATACATATATAATTTAAAAATTTATTCATCCAATAAATTAATGCCAACAATATTTATTTTTAATAATTATTTCTAAATATTTTCGAAAAGTAACCAGCTCCCTCACTGAGTACTCATTTATTATTCAACAAATGTTATTCCTGCATTGCGTACATTGTAGTCAGGTAGAGGTATTAATTTACCGTGCTATTTGAAGATATTATAACATTCTATTTATCAAAAGTTCATATTTGGGTGAAAAGGTCATTATATACCTATCTGCGGCGCGTGCATATAATTGCCAAACAGACGAATTGATTAAAGTCACATTATGGCGTTACAATACGTGTGACGCTAATTACACTAAAATTTAGTTTAATTACATTTGAAAAACGTTTCATTTTTAAATATTCTATAAACATATTTTAAACATTATATTTAAGAATAATAAACGCTAGTGACATCTAACCATCAACGAAGTAAGTAATTTAAAATCTATAGAATCAATATAAAATACATTTATTCGAATTCAATTTAGAAGTTTAAATTTATCATCATTATTTTTTATTATTATTTATCATTTAAAACTTCTGTTCTCTAAAAATTGTATTCATGAAATTTTAGTAACGGTTTCTTCCATATCAGAATAAGGTATACACGTATACAGGTTGCAACAGGAGATAAGGGTTGCTATTTTTGAAGCATTTTTCGTATACGAATGCATGTATTTTTATCGTATACGAAAAATTGAACTTTCAAGAAAAGTAACCAAATTATTGGAAGTATGTAGTAATACAAACTCCCCGTGGGATGGCTCTTGTCTACCACATCATCTTTTAATCGTTATTCTTCTTATTTATTTTGACTTCATTTTATAAATGTTTATTACTTCAAATAATATTTATTAAGATAATTGAAAATTATATCAAAAGTATATAATTATGTATTGATCAGCCCTATGCGTGAGTGTGAGAGAGTGCTCATTAGATGTCACATAAGAGTGTTCTTTTCGCGCTTATAGACTGATGATTACTATATATATATTTCATGTCGTTCAAAAAGAATTCATTTTTGCCTTGAATAAACAATAGAAATTGACATATCATAATCCGTACAACCACACACATGCACATTAAAAACAAACATGGGATGAAATTAATAAATTTTTCGAACAATAACAATGTTAAAAATTGATCACCGTTTTGCAGATATACGAAATTCTTCAGATGCTCGATCAATCGTCCAATCAAATCTTCAACAGTAGTCCAAATAACTTGCTAAAATCTTCACTGCAGATCCGTCAGATACAATTCGTATTCGTGATTACAAAAGCGATGACAATTGTCGTGTCAGACCACACATGATAAAATATGGATTCTTTAAACAGAAATCAAATCACATTAAAGTATTGCACTTCGCATGACAATAATTTTCCGACTTTCCATAACTGTATTTAATTGAAATTTTGCCCCAAACGGGCGTTGTTCGCTGTTCAGAATTCAGAAGACGGGGGTTACTTGATCACTGATTTCAACTGAATTTTTCAAGACAATCGTACCTCACAACCTAACAAAAATTGTAATCAGAATTTCGTTGAAATTTCAATGGAAATTAATATTGGAATTGAGATGGAATCTATCCAGAGAGCTATTCCAGGAAATCCCTTTTAAGAGGATATTCCGGTAGAATTAACTTTTAAATATTAAATGTATTTTATAATACTCATTCTAGAAAAACGTTACAAGATTTAAAATATAATATTTTTAAATAGATATTCAAGGAAGCTTTCCCTGAAATTGCATTAAAGGTTTCCTCGATATTATTTGATGTCCTGATGGGGTGGTTCCCATGTGGCTTAAGAGAATTATATTAAAATTTCGTTCATCAGTTGATTGTATATGGTACTTCGGTTATTTTCGTCTGCGTTCGTCGAACCCGGGTTCGATTTTTATCCCTTCCAAACTTACGTACGAAATGTTCTTCGCAATATTGGATTTCCGAAATATGTAACTTCACAGCACATTTCCTTAAGTACAGTTTGACAGAAGTTGGCGCTTTTAAGTTTTAAAGTTTTCACTGTCAATGTCAAGAAAGCTTTGTCTAAGCATACAAATATTCGCCTGTACTGGAAAATTTCGGACGATACCATTTGCGTTGAAAAAGAGGATACGTTCTGTTTAGGTTGAAAAGAATAAGCAGGACACATCTAAAGAAACTTTTCCAAAAGTTTCATTTGAAGAACTGATAATCAATCAATCATCAATGTATTATTATATAAATTATGTGAATAACATTTTTATTGCGTTTTGAAACGTTAAAATTTTAATGAAAATATGTTTTGAGATGCCGACTAACTCAGCAATTTCCTGGTTGTTTGAAATAAAAGAAACATTTTTATATTAAAAATAATGCTACGTAAGGAGTAATGAAGAGACAAAAATTTATTTTTACAGTAGTGAAGCTGTGTAAAGGGTGTATGAAAGAAAGCCGGTAATTTTAAAGCGCCGGCGCTCGCGTTTGCGTCTCTCATGCTTTCTCTCCTCGTTTCCAATATTACCTATATTGGTTGACAGAACTTCCACTTTGTGGAATTTCACATCAGTACGCTTAGAGGCCTTTTCAAGTAACGCTTCATATATATGACTTTCTTTGGTGTGTAGGCTTTCAAATCTATTACGAATACAAATGAACTTAAAAAAATAATATAAGATTTTTATTCAAGAATTTAAAATAAAGTCTTTTTTACAAAAATGACAATTGTTTTTTCTTTGTTATTATTGTATATCCGACAATGAAAAAGCTTAACTCCTTCGAAGGGCGGATGAGATCTTATACAATTTTCTCATTTGTAAACGAAAGACAGAAGGAAATCAGTGATGCGTGAAATAAGATCGTATGTGAAAGTGTAAAATTTTCGTATTAAGTGTTAGATTTTTCCAAAGCAAAAATGAAATCTTGTTTTAAACATAATTTTTAAGAAGATTACTTACTTTATTATCTAAGTAAATAAAAAAATTACTCAAATGACATTATGTATGATAAAAATAGAATTCTATTAATATGATGATATCTTGTTGACTATGAAATGGTTTACATTTTTAAAATTATATGCTGTGAATTACACATTCAAGGTGAAGTAGATGAGATTATCTACTGTGGGAGACACTTTGGAGGTTTTAATTATTTAGTTGATGAGTGATGAGGAATTGTACAAAGGTATCTTTAGATCAAGATTTTCATAAACATCACGATTATTATGAAAGAATAGAATGAGTATGAAGCAGATTTGGTGGTTAGAAAGAAGAAATTTAAAAAAATGAAGAGCGTCCTGTTGACTTTAAGTATACTTTTTGCAAGTAAGATTTCTTTTGATAATAAAATAGCATTTAACTCTTATTAAATTAATTACAAATTTATTAATATTGCCAATACTAGTCTATATTTAGTTTTCAAAAAGGCCAATAATTGAATTTTTCTTTTAATAAAAAAGTATTCTATTGATGCTAAATGGTATTTAGAAGAAGAAAGAAATGAACAAAACTTATAAGAGTCATTTTAAAATACTTATCGTAATTTAATTTATATACTTTCAAATAGATCCACTGTTTACCGTTGTACTTTTAAAGTAATTCTATACCTTAGTTCCCACAAGAGGAGTTCTTAATTAGATTATTCCAAACTTTAAATTTCACAATAAAACTTAATATTTTTATTCTGTTGGATAAATGGAAAAGAACTTTTTCGACAGTGCAAATTAATTAACCACACAGAATAAAAAATTTCTTCAACATTTTCTAAAGTTGATTCCCAATCTCCGATACTTTCATACGAAAAGCTTAGGGAATGTTTGTTTAATTTTAGAGGCATTCCATAGAATCGGCAACTTTTGAATTAGATTTTGTCAAAACTTGGGAATTTTATTGTATATGAAAATTGTAGGTAAAATATTAAATTTAAATAATCTTTTTTAAATTTAAATTACAATTTTATCAAAAATACATTAAACATAGGAAAATAGGAGTATATTTTCCATTGTTTAATGAATTTTTAATAAATTAATAATATTTAAGAGTAATCAATTTTCATTTGAAAAGAAATCAAGATCGAGGTTGTCAGCTTCAATAGTAGAATGTCCCATTTAGCAAAACTTATGGTTTTATTTTCCAAGAAATTCTCATGTAATTATTTAGAGTACTTTGCTTGGAAATATTTTTTGAAAAAATTTAAAACTACAGTCCAAAACTTATACACTTAAATATTTTACAAACAATCCTTTGTACATTACTATAGTAAATCATTGATAACTACCAGAAAGTTAACAAAGGAAAGAAAAAAAGGGGGGATTCATGAAAGTTAATTAACTTCTTGTTAACTTATTAGAAAAGAGGGTGGTATCTGGGTTAAATAATTGAGAAGAACTCACCAAAATTCCGGACCTCGTCTTCTTGAAAAACGTGCTAACTAATTTTCACTTAGTCAGCACGAGATGCAGGCACGTGGCTAAGAGTTGCCAATGAACGGCATAAAATGTTGCACCTCTCTCTCTCATTGGTAGAAAAAAGTGCTCTTATTTAAAATACTTTATTATAAAAAATAATTAAGAAAACAAACAATTTATTGTTTTTATGTTTAATTATAATGTTTTTAATCAAAATTAATTTTTATGCATTATTTTCAAAATAATTCTTAAGTTTAAATAATTTTAAAAGTCTTAACAAAGCAATTATGTGATTATTTATTATGGTCTAAATTCGCAAAAGTAGATGACGATATCCTAGAGATATCAGAAACGCGCCACGGAATTTCGCAAATTAGCAAAATTCTACATAATTTGAAGGAAAAGATATACAATTTATAGCAGGTGGATATGATTTAAAATAGAAGATTTTTAATACTTATTTCTATTTAAATGAATAATGTTATAATATATTGAGTTACGGCTCATCAAAGCACTCGTTTGACGTCCGCGGCCGATGTTTGCAGTTTGTTGTTTGACAAACATACATTGGAGTGTGTACGAGGGCGGAGAGGGAGTTCAGAGGGTTTATTCCCCTTTAAGAGCTCCAGAGGCAGAGCCGCGTTCAGGAAAAAGTAAAAAAAATTTGCTCACAAGATATTTAAGTAATAAATAATAAAAAAATGTATGATTATAGGATTATCAAAGGCTTGTTATTGAAAAGAAAATAATCAGGTTGTGTAAAACAATTTTAAAAAATCAAGATTAATAATGATTAATGAGACAGAACATTTAGATTAACATCATCAATTCTCATGGGATTTGTCTCATGAGCTTCCATATAAAATTCTATGTAAGATCCCGTATGAGAAAACATGTATGATCATATACATATGTGATCCCATGTGAGAATTTACAATAGGGAGAAGATTCAAAAACCGTCTGTTATTGCTTTTAATTTTACAAAGCTATAAACTGATTGTGTAACAGTTGACAAATGAATTTTTTTCTCGACTACAAGCAACTACTGCTTCATTGTCTCCTTTATAATCCGTATTAAACTCACTGGAAATGCAAGATGAATCTATTTTCTCAATTTTACGAAGATCATCAAGAAGAAGATTATTATTATTATTATTATTATCATTATCATTACAAGAATTTAAATTTATATAATTATTTGCAGATGGTTCCACCCCTTTTGACAACATAGTAATTTACAGGATGTGCAAATGTATTGTCCTAAGTCACAACGTTTTTATGCTTTCTATGAAAGACTTCTTGGGAACTAAACGTTTTTCTCCACCCAAGCATAATTGGGTCACTTTAAAGGGTTGCTGCAAACTTTTTTTGGCGTAATTATTTTATGAAATAAAACTCTGAATTACACAGCACTAAAAGAATTTCACAGAAAGATTTAGGTATTCAAAGAGATATTTCTAACTCTAAAGTGAAAGTTAATTAATCTGGAAGAAAATTTTTGAATTTTTTCATATATACGTACTACACCCATGCATTGTATTTAAGGGTGTCATTAAGAGGTCGAGCCCTCTAACTAAAATTTAAAAATTAATTACTTGAAAACAAGAAAATATTTAATTTTGAAAATTTTAGCCTTCGAGTGAAAGAACAACATTTTAAAAAGAAATTATTAAAATCTATTAGTTAATGTGAGATAAAATTTTGATATACCCTACCGATACAGAATAACTAGAAACACATTTACGGCTCATTGGTTTCAGTAAGCCTTCAGCGAACTTATATTTATTGCCACTCAGGTCAATTCGGTGGTATAGTTCTTTTAAATTAAGTACCTAAATACTTTTAGTTTCAAAAGGATTCTAAATCCATAATTGAATTGTTCTATTCATCTGAGTTTAAAAATTATGGGTTATTAAAAAAGAAATTCAGTTATGTAATAAACTTTTTTATTTTAATAATCAATTTAATCAATGGTCTGACTTACATTAATTGTCGCAGGATTTGCTCGATGCTGGAGCAACAACGGCGACTTGCAGAGAGAGCAGAAACTTGACTTTTCAAGTCAAAATCCATATTTTGATATATCTGCTTCTCAAAATGTAACGGCATTAGTTGGCAAAACTACTCAATTGAACTGTCGTGTTCGTAATTTAGAAGACCGTACAGTAAGTATTAATAATTTAAATTAGTTTTAGAAATTTATAAAAAAAGCTAGCGTACAATATTTATCGACGACAAATGACAATCAATTAATCCTTTTGTAGGTTTCATGGATAAGGCACAGAGATATACATCTGCTGACAGTAGGAATCGATACCTATACGTCAGATCAGAGATTCGTGGCTTCAAATTACCCTCGAACAGAAGATTGGACCCTTCAAATTAAATATCCTCAACCTCGAGATTCCGGAACTTACGAATGTCAGGTTTCTACAACACCACCTATAGGACACTCAATGCATCTGGCGGTTGTCGGTAGATCTTCTTTTATGTCGCCCGCTCCGCTTTTATTTTCATGAAAACACATCATATATTAAATGTTGAATAATTGTTTTTTAGAACCGATTACTACAATCGTAGGAAGCCCAGAAATGTACATAAATAAAGGTAGCACCATGAATCTAACTTGCGTAGTCAGGCATAGTCCAGAACCACCCTCTTCTATTTTCTGGACACACAATCACGAGGTATCTTTAGAAAATAATTAAATTCTATTGAAATTAATAGTTATTGATTTTACATTTTTCCGTACATGAAACCAGTTTCCAGATATGATTTTTGAAGATAATGTCTTCTCTTGTTCACATCCTCTAGGAGATCAATTACGATAGTCCAAGGGGTGGTGTGTCGGTAATCACGGAAAAGGGTGAAATTACCACCTCATACCTTCTAATTCAACGAGCACAATCAACGGACAGTGGTGAATATACCTGTCATCCTAGCAACGCCAACAGACAAACGATTTCTGTTCATGTTCTGAATGGTGCGTATGATTGGTTTCCATTTCACTATCTTTTTTCAGGAATCTTCACAAAATCAACACAAAATCAAAAGTCAACTTTGTTTAGTTTTGCCTGAATCAAGTCTAATTCATAATCAACTTAGTTTTGATTCCGTTTAGTGAACGAAACGAATAAACCTTCCATAACCACTCGACTACAAATTCTCAACAGAAATTAGAGTTTTGAAACTGCCGTCATAAACAACTTGACATTGTATTTAACCCAGACAAAGAACCTTAATTAAAATGAAAACTCATGATTTTTAAGAAAAAAGGAGTATTGACGACGTATTTTATTTTTCAGGGGAGCACCCAGCAGCAATGCAGCATGGAGGTCAACTTAAGTTGGGGAATCGTCCCTTTGTGATGTTCCTCGCATCATTACTGGCCTTCTTCATTTATGATCACTGAATAAACAGACGAAGATGTGAGATTTTTGACAGTATGACATTTCATTGATGTCGATTATAATTGTATGTATAATGTTATGCAAGCTCAAATACTTAGACCTTCTTATATAACAGACAACACAATTTCTTCATGTACAAAAATAAAAACTCTTCTGAACAGAGAACAAAAATAAATATTACTTGGTCTTAGATAAAAGATTCTTATAGTTGAATTAAAAAGCTTATCTTTATTTTAATTTACAACCTAATGTTTCCATCATTTTTGCAATAATGATACCAATATTGCTTCAAATTTGTGTGCAGTTGGGGAATTTTTCAATTCTTTTCATTTTCATGATAGCACAAATCATGTTGCTTAATCTGCTTTGACACCTCCATCCTTGTCACATATTTTACGAGTGTCGATAATTGTGAATTTTCTACAAACCAGGGAAGAGGAAAACCTCGGAAAACCGAAAAGAATTTATTATTTAAATTTTATCTATAACAAACTTAAAGCAAGAAAAAGCATACTCAAAATGGCTAAAAAATTTTGTATATGTTTATTTATTAAAGTATTAATACATACAACAAAATACTCAAAACTAAAATTACAGAAATCTTATTTATAATTTATTATAATATGTATACCAGTATATAGTATACCTGTGTGGCAGGTTTCTACTAGTTTGTAAAATCACTAGATTTTATCCAGACTGGTTCTTTATACATGTATATCTAAACCAATGGATGAAATTCTGACGCACAGATGTACAATTTTTTTGTAAACCTATAAATCACTTTCTCATTACTAGAGGCATTCTTTACTTTTTCGTCGTTATTCAAAAAATAATTCTAAAAACTAAAATTCTGCAAATTAATAAACAGAATATAAAAATAAAAAAAGAAACAATTTTTGAAAAAGACGATTGTAAACTAATAGTGAGAAAAACGCACAATAATAAGATAAAATAAAGTAAAATACAGTTTGGACGGTAAAAATTACAACAAATACTGTTTTACGCTGATATCGAATTGCCTTACAAAATCTAAAGATACAAAAGTGTCGTTTACACAAATGTTTCAAAAAATAAATTTATGGTAGGGCCAAAATATTTATTATAATTAAATCAGTTTTATTCAATATTATTTTGAAGCATTTCCAAATTTTCTTTAGGAATTTATATTAAAATACATTTTTGTTTTTTGTTTTAGCCCATTCTTATTTTAAATATACCTTTCTTATATAATTACAAGTTTGGCATACCTATATGTATAAGATAAATATCGATATCAGCTTTTTAAAGAATTTAAATTAAATAGATAAATTTTTATTAATTATACCAGAAGCGACTACTAGTTACACTTATATCGAACAAACATTTTATTTTGTTCTAAATTTAAAGAAAGTAACGTCATCATTGTTTAAAATTTTAATTAAGTCTTCATTAGGGATTTTTAAAAAGATAAGTTACAGTTACAAAATATGTCGTACGTATATAAATCACATATCCCATATTGCACTATTCAAATTTGATATGATATAAAAATATTTTTTAAAAACTTGTGTTTTTATGTAAATTTAAGTGTCTAAACTATCACTAATCTTTTTACTTTTTTGTCTTTTCTTCTTGGCAAATTATTTTTAAATATAAAACTGTTACAGATTAATGCAAATGTTCTTGTGATTTATGAACGTTGGCAACATTTCTATTTTGTACTTTTACTAATATAACTGACATGATTTTAAAAAGTAAATAATTTTTTAATTCTAAACTTTCCACTACTTAAAAAAATTAAATGTATACTTTATAAAAAAAACTTTTTAATACCCGTTGTAGAATGCACAACTTCAGAGACTATTTGGTTGATTGGTAATTCGCTGTAAAATTATTACTTGAATGAAATGCGATTCTTTTGGAATCGATTATGAGCGAACGACTCCATTATTAAAATAAATTAAATTATATAATGTGCATTGTACATTTTATACAATTTATACACGAAATAGTAGATATAATGAGAGCTGACTGTAAAGGCAATGTTAAAAAATTATAATATTGACTTGAATTGTTACTGTCATGTATTTATTATTTCTGATTGGAAAGTTTGGAAAAATGAATATTTACTTTTTCCGTTGTCTACTAATATTAATGATTAAAAAAAATAATATAAACTGTAAATTTCCATTTGACACAGGAAAAATAGTAAGATCACCTATCCAAATTTAGAAAAAATCACAAATTAAATTTATGTTTCCTTATTTAGTGGGATCATATTTAATCTCTTCGTGAGTATAGAATAAAAAAATCTAATATATATTACTTAGCAAACTTTGAACGTCCTTTGACAAATAAAATTTACAATAGAAAAAGTTGACTCTAATAAAATTTTAAAATAAGTCTTGGACTAAATGTAAATAAGAAAAATTAGTTTAGTATCTTTCGAAAAAAAATTTGAATCCGACTTAAATTACAAGTTATAAAAAGTATGCCAGTTTGACAATGAAGATGAATTACCTTAGAAAATATTTGTATAAAAATCTTTACAAAATTTAATTTATCCATGGACCAGCATTTTCCTTTTTACATAGGTTTCATTTAATTTAAATGAACCATTCTTTCTTCTTTTGCACTTGATGACCAGTTGTAGAATGAACAACTGCAGAATCTGGATCTAAAGCTATTTCTGCGCCTTTATCTTCCTGTGTTAGATATTCACCTTTATGTTGTGACATGTATCTTGCAATTAGTGCACCCATTATGGCCAAAAGAATAAAGAGCAATGCCAAAACACTACCTAAAACAGCAGTGTCAGTTTCATTGTATGCAGCTCTGACTTTGTCTTCATCAACATTTGGAGGTGGACGTGTTTCGATAATATCAGGTGGATGAGTAATTGGTTCAACTCCACAAAAATCTTCAGGAAGTGCACCAGGAATTGATCTAACATTTGATGGACCATTTTCTTGGAATAATAGTTTTAATGGATATATATCGTCAAATTCAACTCTCGATATACAACCAACAAAACCTTCAGTCATTGATTCATTTCTTCCAATATACATATATTGAATATTATTAAATTGACCATCAGCTGAATCTTTAATAGGGAAATTAAATTCTGATGTCTTGTGACTGTCAACTTGAATCACCAAAGTAGATCCTGCATTTTTTCTGCTAATTCGAACATCGTGATATTGTCCTAGGTCAAAACGTTTTACAGGATATATCACTTCTCGTCTTTCAAAGCCAAAATCAAATACCACTCGAAGATGTCCACTGTTTGATACCATAATAGTCATATATTCACCAGAAATATTTGAAAACAGTCCTAAAAGAAATCCTTTTGCATTTGTAGTGGTGAATCCTATCCTAATTTTTTCGGATATTGTTGATCGCCAACTACCCATGAAATCGTATTTAATTAATTGATTTTGTCTTAAGTTAACGCCAATTTCTGAAAAAGAAAATTAATAATTTTAGATTCACTAATTTTATTTTATTTGCCAATAATTATTCTATTTAAAAAAAAACTCACCGTCAGCACAAATTGGTCCTTTGAAAGCAGTCCAACGACAATCACAAGTATATCTATCGTATCTCTCGTGACATGTTCCGTTATTTAAACAAGGATTGCTTTCACATCTTCCAACACAGCCTTCACTCACTCCATACAATCCTCGTCTTGCGTAACTTCTCAAGTCCTGAAGTTGTCCATTTAATAATAACGCTCGAATGCAACCAACATAGCCATCTCTGTAATCTTCGTTAGCGCCTACAATTAGGTCAGAAGTTAAATGAAGTGCCCGAACTGGACCCTCGGGTTCTTTTACTTCGCTTTTCAATGCGCCATCAAGAACAATTCTTGCCTCTTTACGATTGCGTTCAACGGAAACTGTATGCCAACGATCATCGGCTAATCTGTAGGATGTTTGTACCGAAACAGTTAAAGGACCTCCACCAGCTTGATATTGGAAAAGAATTTGATTTCCTCCATTGATTGATATTTTTATATAATCAGATGGACCCTTACTAAATATCATTACTGCATTTTCAATTGTTGTTTTAAATTCAAAATAAATGTCACCACTGTGACTCATATCGAATGTTGGTAAATTAATGGTTGAATCAGTAATGCGGAAAGTTACTACGTTTATAAATAAATCTGTAACAATTTCATTTAATTAGTTTCAAATTAAGTAACTATTATGTACAATTAAAAAAAAAAATAAATAAATACATACCATCACCCTCGCATATTAATGGTCCCAAGGTATAACGCCCTTCCTTTTCATCAAGAGCTGTACCTGTATCACCGAATCGTAATTGTTTTACGGGTAAATGCTCTTTTTCTATAATATCGCCGCCGTCCTCCAGCCAACCTTCGAAACCAGCATCACAGTTACACCATTTATTAGGATCTGCACAAGTTCCATATACTCCACATTCACATTTACGCGATCCAGGTAGAGCACCACCCCAGTAGTCCATTTTTTGATTACGTCTACTAACCCACCAAGAGTTAGGTCTAAAAGGTTCATTTTGTGATACTGAAAAAAATCAACGAGTTTTGTAATTTGACATCTTAATACAACTGAGAATTCTGAATAAGAAATAGAAGACTTGAAAATATTGTTGAAACATTCTTCCATTCTTTGATTTTATAGTAAGAACATGTTTCAAATTCTTTGACTTTAATAATGTATAGGTTACTTACTTGGTGTATTGAAAAGACGAGAATGTTTGCAAGCATAATTAATTTTCTGTCTGCAAGTTGTAGATACATTTAACAAAGCTTCAATCTGATCAAGATCCGCATCATAATTTACATCTTGTATAAAAGAACCAGCTTCTTCATATGCATCTACTGGAGTAGGCTGTTCATTGCTATGATGTAAGACAGTGACAGTTCGTCCATCTGCATAAAATTCACACGTAACTGGGAATGGACGTAGAGGACCACTTCCATCAACATCGATTTTAATGTCCGCTCGTTGATTAACGGAATTGGTATTTTTATATGCTTCACAAGACAAGGGATTCATTGCTGTAAATTTTACAATGATTAAAAATTGTATAAACACAATGACTAGATATTGAGTTGAAATTCTAATTTTAACTTACACGTATGGCATACAGCACCGGAATAACCAGTGTTGTCACAATCACAAAGAAATTCTTCAGATGTTTGGTGACAAATTCCAGAATGCTTACAAGGATTTGGATTACAACGATCCACCATTTGACAGCCGTCAATAACTATATCATTTTTGCAACAATATTCTTCTTCTTTCCAGTCAGTTGGCAATTTGTAATTTCCATCTATACTGATAACTCGCATACAACCAACAAATCCTCGATGATTTATCATATTTGAAATTTTACCTTCCATACCACCGATAAAATAAATACCGCCTGTTGATATTTCCAAAAGACGCGTTGTTCTCATAGTTCGACCGTCAACAGTTAAAATAACAGAATTTTTAGTAATAGTCAATATTACCTGATGCCATTTACCGTCATTGAAAGTTTCATCAAAATTATCCAAAATTGCTTTTGGATAATTATGGGTCTGAATATCTATTTTCAATTTACCTTCTTCAATGTACATCTGCAACAATAATGTATTATAAAATTTAACATTAAGTATTGAATATTAATATTGATTGCAATATTCCATGTTAATTACCTTAACAAATCCTGGAGAAGTGAATCGATGATACAAAATCACTCCTTCTTCATCATAAGTTCTAAACGAAAGGGAAACATTAAGAGATGACGCACCTTCATATCCCTTCAACTTTGCGTAAGAACCAGAAGTTAAGAAAGTTATTGGAATTATAGGTGGTTCTGGACAACTGTAAAGAGAATTTATTCTCTGGTATCGCATGTAATCTCCATATTCTTCTGCTTTCTTGACTTCGCTGATTATATTCGTTGTATTAAAGTAAAAGTTTTCTATACACCCTGTGAAGTTTTGTGTAACAACAATGCCCTCTTGCATATTAGGAACGCCTCCAATGTAAAACTAAAATATGACGTTAGATTCTTTTAACTTTTATTAAATTTAGTATGAAAAGTAAAAACTGTGATGCAATATTTAACGAAACATTTACATTCATAAGATTTAAAAAATGAAACTTACTACTCGATTTAAGTCTAATCTGTGAAACTCTCCTTTTATTTTACCCTCTATTAACACCCTGTCTACTGAAAAAGCAATGTTTCTTCGATTTCTAGCAATTATAACATCGTGCCACATATTATCATCTAAAAGGCTTCCCACTGACAAACTTGTCATTATTCCTGAGCCAAGATCAATATTTAGTAACATTCTATTGTCACGCAATTGTAATGCTATAAAATCTCCTTGTGTTCCTCGAGAATATACCATTACTCCATCAGCATTATTAGTCTTAAATCGAAAACGAATTGAATGTCCATCAGTTTCAATAGGTTCTCGCATTAAATCCAATCGTAACATAGAAGAACTATTGAATGATAGTACATCAGATACTGTAAAAAATTAAAGTAGCATTACCTCTATACTCTTAATAATTATTATCATATTCACCAGGTTTAATGACACAAATTCAAATGTAATACAGAAATTGGTGTTAATTGGTTGCCTTACCATATTCACATCCATAGAGTTCAACTCTAAGTGATATTCTGTCTCTCCATCTTGTAGGATTTATTCTAATCCACTGTGCGATTATTGGAACTTGAAATTTATTTAATCTAATTGTATCTCCGTTGACATTACCTTTAAACATCTAAAAATAAAATTACAAATGCTTTTAGTAAATAGAATTTCATTACAAAATAAAAAACTAAGTACTCGTTTTAAATATGAAAATTTATACCTACATAAGAATAGTATATTATGCAACAAGGAAAGAAAGTGATAGAAACACAAAAGTCAATAATCATTTTCCTCCCGAATGCATATACTATTTTTCTAATAAAATGCATTTAAATAAAAAAGGAATCCCATATCCCCTTGACTTACCAAAGGAAAAAATTAATACTTCCACATTACTACTTGTATTTTATCGAATTTTTCAAATGTATTTGGTAAAACATGTCTTCTTTATTTAAGGATCAATTACCAGGAAATGTGGAGAGCCGAAGCCACCAATTAAGTGGATCAAAAGTATGTTACTTGACAGAGGCTCATAAGAAGAGAACCCAGAAAATTTTCATCCTATAGGCCTATTATACACACAGTTGTGCAGATAATTTCCTGATTATTACAAGAGAGTTCTTGATAGAGACGCTCTTTGAAATAATAGAAATGCCAATCTAATCCTAAATTAAGGAAACCAGTATTTTATGGATTAGAAATTTCTTTTTCTGATTCGGTTAAGTATCTGGGAGTAATTTTAGATAAGAAGCTGCATTTCGTATTCTAATATACAGCAATTTCTTCACTGCCTTTCGGATTGCAGAAGGGCAATATGGGGGCTGAAACCAAGTATGATTTATTGACTAAACCAGATGATTCTTAAACCCAGATTTCTGCATACGGTCCAAAGGAGAAGACGAAACTAGATCAAAGGTAATGATCAATGGTTTTTAGAGAGATCACAGGAACATTGGTTTTTATCTTAACAAAGGAACTTACGGATCACGACTTTCAAAATAGGTGGACAGGTTTCATTAGTTTGGGGTCAGGCATAAATTACATTCAGTGAAACTAAGTATTTGATTTGGACATTTAATTTAGTATTAACTATTTATATTACAAGAGACCATTTAAACAGAGCAGCCTGGGGTCAAGTATTCGTTGAGATCCTAGACTTTTGGAGAAGGACAGGACGTTTTTCGAAATAACACAGCACAGGGGTGACAACTCCCGTAATTGGTCATCACTTTATACGGAATGCAATAATTATATTAATAATAATAGTGTTAGTATTGTGTGTGAAATAATATAAATTAATTTCATATGCGAAGTGAATTACAAATAAATTATGAAGCGTGTCCGCTAATTATTAATGTACCGTAAACTGGAGTAACTCTAGAATTTGTTCAGTTTTAGTTTTCTTAATATTATAATTAATTATTTTGCGGATTCAACTGGTACCAGTCGTTGTTTTAAGTTTTGTTAAGTTGTTTGTTTAATGAAATTTTTAAGAAACTTTCTACTTACAGTATAGAAGATTTACAAATGTTATTCTAGGATTACCCAAGTTTACAGTACTTAATAATATTAATTAAATCAGTAGAAAGTTAATAAGAGAAATAATAGAAACCTAGATGAAAATATTAGTAAACTAAAAAAACATGCAAAATTTTAAATCCTGCACACGGTTGATTAATATTTAAAAATACTTTTAGAAAAAATTTTAAATCAACTTTTAATTGAATATTGTATAAAAGAATACATTATAAATTAGTCAAGTCACTTTTTTAGTGGACCAGTTAAAAAATTCTGACTCATTATAAAGTATAATTTCTTTAAATTGTTGTATTTCTGCCTCAAATATAATTGACATCATAAATATCTTTTATATTTTTTCAATACCTCATCTACGCCGTCTTGGCTTTCATAACTGATCCACGCTTGACCGTCATCAGAATACTGGACAATGTATTCCGTGACATATTCATTAGTATGTGCACGACCTCGAGTTGATATGCTGCGAATTTCAAATCGACCTCCAAGATCCATTGTAATGTGCTGATCATAACTGCTAACTTCTGGTGACCACGCAGATTCCCCTGCAAAGCCCAACCCCAAGACCAGCGTAAAAGTTAAGAAAGGTGATAAGCAAAGCAGATAAAAGTCAGAAATGGTTTCAGTTAACAAATGAATATCTTATTCTATTTATATACATTTTCATAGTACAACACAGTCTAATTTCTAAAAGCTTCCATAAGATACCAACACATGCTTTTATGCATCTATTAATTAATTTTTTCATGTCAATTGGCCTGCATTAAGCAAATTCAAATAAAGAATTATCATGTTCCCATGCAAACAGTGACAACAAGAATATAGAGAAGACCTAACTTACCTTTATGTTGCCATCTGTTTCTTTATAAGACACGTAATCGCGACCATTAGTACCATAACTGATACCATATTCCATGACAAACTCGTTCTGATGTGCTCGACCTTGGGTCGCAATTGAAGTGATATTCATAGTTTGACCCAGGTCAATAATAAGGTACTGATCAAAATCTGAACTGCGAGCTGTCCATGCGAATCCGCCTACGCCACAACAATACTTACAAAAATACTCATGCAAGCGAAATAACTAAACTCATACATATAATAAATAACAATTAAGAGAGAATACTTATTTACAATCTCAATATTTTACTTTCATTATTTTTTTTAAAGAAATTACTTTATTAATACATTGGAGTTTCGTTTACAGAATGCAAAAAAACACTAACTTGACGTGTCAACAGATAGTTGTAATTTTATTTCCAGTTTTATTTCAGTACAAACAATATACAAAAAATATAATTTATTTTCATGGTCTTTCTTTTTTAGCAAAGTATTGTGAACAATATTTCTGATCTTCTTCTATAAGAGGAATAGCATTTTCTATCAATTTTTCAATATTAAGTTCTTCAAATAATAAATCTGTTAGATTTTCAACTACATTAGTGTTCTGAATTGCTACAGCAACACAATGATCAGAATTTAATAAAGATTCCTCGAAAATCCAATTTTGTTTAACATTATTAATATATAAACTTGTATCGCTGACTACACAGTTTTCATTTAATTTACTGCAAGTTCTAAATTCGATTTTTTCTAGATCAATCACGATACCCACACCTAGTGCTTTAACATAACTTTCCTTCAACGCCCAATGTCTACAGAACATTGAAATTTGCCCTAACTCTGAAGTACATGCATCTCCTCCTTTAATTTCATTCCATTCTAGTGGTGAAAAATTTTTATCCATCAATCGAAAGAATTCTGATAATCGCTTACCACCAGTGTATTCAAGTTTCATAACATCAATACCTAATTTTACATTTCTAGTTTCTCCTGCAAGTACAGTAAAATTTCCCTGATGAGAAACATTAAATGATATTAATTTATTTGTATTTTCATAAATAGGTTTGTTATGTTTGTCTCTCCTGAGAAAAATTTCATTATATGGAACGCAAGCATATTCACTGACAAATTTTCGTATCATTAATCTACCAATAAGAGATGCTCTAACATCTTTTCTGAATACAAATTTCCCTAATCTTTCTTTTTCATCAACTTGAACATATGACATTATCCGCGTAAATTCTTTTTCCGTTGGGTGCCAATTTGCCCAATTAAAGGCCCACCTAACACTAATCATTTTTATTATTTAAATAATTCTTTTGCGCTGTGTAAGTTATTGATTCTTAAAATGCAATCTGCTTTGTACGTTGATCACTCAGGTAAACTTGGCAAGTTCCTAGCATCCACCTGCAGCAAACAGACAGGTGTCTTTACTATTAATTTAAAATTAAAACCTAAAAATAGTCCACAACGACTTTAGGTGAAATATAATGGAATGATCCATAAAATCAGGTTTTATTCCTCCTTCTAGCATTACGGGATTTATGTACGTCTTCTATATTCGTCGCCAGATATTCGATTTAACAATAACGGTCACTAGGATAAAATATTGAACTGTCTATTTAGATTCTGTTATTTCATAATTTTAGAACAACTGCTGTATGGCACGTAATAAATTAAGGGTGATGTTTTGTTTGAGGAACACCCGAATGCATAAAGATTATTAATTTCTTTCATAAATGTACTCCAGTGTAATAAACAAGTTTTATCGTATAGTCTTAAATCATTCAACATAATATTATCAAATGAAAATAAATTATCCTGATTCATTTGTTGTTAAATTAGTTTTTACAGGTGTTTAAAATTAAAAATATTTTATAATTTAAAATTATATGAAAGTAAAATATTGAAAATCATTAGCAACCCTACATACATACATACATACATAGAGGAAAATTTATTTGTTAAAAAAAATTGAGCAAAAGTAAAGAAAGAACATGAGGAGATTTTTATAAAATTTAAATAATTTCAATTTCATAATAAGAATTGCCGTAAATTTTAGTGACTGTGAGGGCATAATATGCTCAAGATAAAGTAAAATAGTCCTTACAGCTTTAGTTTCTTTGACCCAATTCATTAGTTTTAAATAAATGAAAACAGAATTGATTTTTATTTTCATTCGTTACCTATAGACCCGAAACAAAGATCACATTACGCTTCAATTTTCAGGTTTACTTTATAATTAAATCTAAATTAAATTCGAAATACTATTTTTCGGTTATTGATTGCAAATTTCAAGACCGTTGGGTATCAAGTTTTTATCGAATTAATATAATAATTTTAAATCAAAGTGAATTTGAACTTCCGTAAAGGTCCGTTCGCACATGTATGTAAATATTAAAGTTCTTTTCTTATTTTAAACTACTTACGAATTAATAAAAAATTGTTTGAATGAAAAATTATGAAAATAAACAAAACGAATTATATATATATATAAACAAAATACAAGCTTGCATGCCAACATGTGCTCTTTTATAAATAAGTGCACATAATAACAAACTTTAAATACGGATAATTGAAGAGATTTTTATAATAATCATTCTTGCTAGAAATTTTTGACGCACCTGAATAGATATTAATTAATACAAAAATAATATAATGAAAAGGATTAATTAACTTGTAGAAAATAATATATTCAGCAAATACTAAAAAGTTTAGTCATTTTAAAAATTTTTATGTTTGCAATTATATAATTTCAACTTAATAAACGAATCTCAATAATGGGATTTAAATGTAAATTCATTCTTTACAATAATATCTAGCATTTATAAAAATATTTATAAATTAAATTTAACTATATAAATTATTATTTTAATATTTGCTTTTTTAGACCTTCTCATTATATATTTATTATTTTATTATTAAAACAAAGTAATAAACATTATATTTACCATTGAGTCTAGCATTGTTTGGTCCACGTTCAGATAAAGATGTGGTTGCTGACAAATGAGCATTTTCGAGCAAAGGAAAATTGCATTCTTCATCTGCAATAAAATAAAGTAAAATTGGAAAAAACATTTAAATCAAAGCAATTTTTTTTCAACCTAAATAACTTGAATAATTGATACTTGATGTGGAAAATAAAAAGGAAAATTACTCATATATTAAGTTAATAATATATTCTTTAATACATTTAAAGTAATATATTTATTTCATCAATACATAATTGTAATTTCTAATTGAAAAAAGATGTTTAATTTTTACAAAGAATACAAAGATAAATTAGAATAACATCAAAATAAAAATGTAACACATATACAAAACTACGTTATATATTAATTTTTAAATAAAAAAAATTCTATATTTGGATCTTATTAAATACAAATAAACAAAAATTATCGTCAATAATTATTAGTTGAATTAAAAGCATTTATTTCTTAACTAATAACTATTTTACTGAATAATTAAACTTATGCTTATGTCTGATTGCGTGTAATGGGCTTGGTCAAGGAAGACTTAGTATATTTTTTAATAAAACCATATAATAAAAGTTATTTCTACATGCATTGAATAGTAATATATTTTTCTACTTACAAGATTGAATAATTGGACTTATAACCACTAAAAAGAGAAGCACAAAATATTTTTGATCGTTCATCATAACATCGTTTTTTTTCAAGTGGATAATAACAAATTTTTTCAAAGTATATAAAAACCCTATCAAATTGAATTGTGATTCACAAGAGACATTAAATAACTGTGACTCAACCAACCAGCCAGGAAAACAATCGGGTCACTCCCAACAGATTTAGTGCCATCTGGAGCCAATTGTTAAGAACTTGTAGTGGGAGAATGGTTACGTTTTCTTTAAAATGTTGTTTCTAAAATTTGTCACTACGAGCGTAACAATCGAAAAGTACATGCAACATGTGACTGTACCCTAAGAGTTTCACATTTCGGATATTGTACTTTGTGCGCAGTTCATATTGAATTTAAAAACGACCTAAACAAACCTGGTTAACAGATTTAACTATATACAGTACTATATATTGTTGGTTGTTTATTTACGTTTAGTATGTAATTATTATTATTATTATTATTATTATTATAAGGCAATTTATGCTTTTTTATAAGATACTACATTAAAAGAAAAAAAAACATCAAAAACCTTATGAAATTGATAATAAACTTGTAAATTAATGGTAAGCGGGCCAGGATAAAAATATTTTATTATTCTTTGTTATTTCAGTACAGTACGAATTTTTTTAAATTGTGCCTTTAATTAATAATTATATTTGATTTCCAAAGTTTTTAGATTTTCATCAATGTTTGAAATGAATGAATTAATTGAACCACGCATTAAAGACATTGAAACATCAGTTATATCTGATGAAGAACGCGAATTATCCCAACATGCGTTGTCAGGTTTTCAAAAAGGTTCTTATGTATCATGCTTGATGTATTTAAACAAATTAGAAATTTTAAGACCAAAGGATTTGAAAGTCATTCATAATAAAATAGTAGCTGAATATTTTAAGAGTAATTTGAAACAAACTGAAATCTTTAAAAAAAATCTAAATACAATATGTGGTCAACTATGGGGTGTAGATTCAATGGATACTGTCGATGATGTTGAAAAATGCGTTATGAGGTATAATCAAGCAATTTTATTGTACCATACAAGGCAATATAAAGCTGCACTTCAATTAATGATTAGATTATTTTCATTAATTGAGCCATTAGGTTAGTATTTTAAATCTATTTTAAAAAAATAGTAAATTTCAATGTGAATGTTTAAAATTGAATTATTTACAGTTTCAGAAGAAAGTCTAGCGCAGAAAGTGTGTTTACTTCTGATTGAATTATATATTGCAACAGGACAACCAGATGCTGCTTTAACTTTAGTTAATTATATTGAAAGACAATTTACAGTTTCCGATTTATCAAAAGTTACTTTAACAGATAAAGAGGAATTTGTGAAAACTTCAAGGGAATTGAAGGAGACAAAAAAAGATAGTTCTGAAATTGCAATCGATGCTTTTCGAATAAAATTAATGAAATGTAAAATAAGAATATATCTTATTACAAATCAGTTGAAATTGTGTAAAAAGGAATGGAAAAATTTTGGAAATATGGGAACAACTATGGTATGATGTTTTCATTAAATAGATAATATTATTTTTCAACCTTAGAGCAAATTTAATGTAAACATGTGATGCATCGCGAAGAAAGGGACCTTAGAAGCAAACATAAGTCGTGTGCTTCTTAGATCCCTTTCTTCGCGACGCGTCACAAATATATTTATTAAAAAGAAGAATCAATTAGATTTGTCTTTATCTTTTACCTACTTAATAAAATTTTAGTTGCCTTGACATTATAATTGTTTATTTATTTTTATAGAATGTTTGCAGTATTTTTTTGGCTGCTAATTTAGAATATCTAAGAGGAAAATGTGCCAAAGCAATGATGCTTTTAAACGCATTAACGCCAGAACAACGACAGTTCAAGTACTTTTTTCTATTAATATTTATTTTCTTTTAGTTTTTCTACACTTTCAAATCAAATATATATTTAATAAAAATTTACCAATCAGTTTCAATCTTTTTAAAATTTTTTTGTAACTTAGATATCATTAAGTAATAAAACAGAATCATTTTCTTATATAATTTAATGTAATATATTTGCAAATAATTATTTACATTTACAATTTATAGATCTTAATTATAAATTCTCCTTTGCTTACAATATTTTTTTCATTTTAAGGGATTATGGAGAATCAGCTGCTGTTTTATATTACAACAATATGGCTTGTATACATTATTCATTGGATAAACCAAATTTAGCTTGTTTTTATTTATACAAAGCATTAGAAGAAAATGAGAAAGCTGTAAAAAATTTACAAATTGATGATAAAGGTATAAAATATTTACATATAGATATTTTATTTATTTTTTATTCCAACATGATCATTATCAGTAATACAGACGTCCATGTATACATAAATAACGTACATGTGACTAATTTTTTACTTAAAAAATAAAAAATGGTCAAAACATTTGTTTACCATATTTATTTTATGACCATTGAATTCCTTGTGAATAGTTACTATAATTTAAGTTCAAATTTAACATTCAAATTTAGAAAGCTATTCAAGCTTAAGTTGAAATATTTTTGGAATTACTTATTTTAACAAAATATTTTTTTTTTATTTTTTTTCAGAACCTTTATCATCTCCACCTCTTTACACACTGGGAGTGAACAAATATTCTGAATTACAATATAACTTAGGAATATGTTATCTAATTTCTGGAAATTGTATGAAGGCATTTGATTGTTTTATTAAGGCTGTATCTAAATTACAAAATAGTCCTAAACTATGGTTGAGGTTGGCTGAATGTTGTATATTTAATCATAATCCTGTAAGTTGTTAAAAATCTTTATTAAAAATTTTTCTACAATTCATGCTTTCACACAAAAAAAAATCTGTATCACGACAGTACCTATTAGTTTCTATATATATTAAACTCAAAAAAGATTTAATTCTTTTAAATTTTAATCTTATATTTAATGAACATTCTTTGTTAGACAAATGGATCAAACTTTAATATTATGAAACGTCGTCAAGATTTAGTTCAAAAAGTAGTAATCTCAGGAGCCTATAAGAAAATTGTTTTAACATCATCATTATCCAATTATACCAATTATCATAGTAAAAGTTTATCTTACGGAATACCTCAACCTTCTTTAGAATTTGGAATGTTATGTTTGAAAAATGCCTTGCATCTATTACCAATTGACATGGAAACGCTTCCTGCTAATGTAACAGGTGATGTCAACTTTTACAATATTCTTTTAGTTTTTTCAATTTATTCTTATCTGACAACTCAAAAATTAAGAATTTCAACTTATACGAATTTAAATTTTAAAGTTACTAAAAATTAAAATTACTTGATTTCTTTATGGAAATTATATTGAAAAAACTGAATATTTTAATTACTTTTAAACAGGTCAGCACAATTTGCAATCTTCAAATACAACAATAATTGAAACTTTAAATTTAAAAATAAGTATTTTGGCTGCCAGTTCTTATACTGCATTGTGCCTTGGAGATTTTACAACAGCTTTAAAACATGCTAAAAATCTTTTAGCAATTAACAATCTACCAGGTGCATACATGATGTTAGGAAAATTATATGCTGCAGAAAGTCTTATTCTTTTAGATCGAATCAATGAAGCTATTGATTATTTAAAACCAGACACACTGTTGGATCTTGACATATCTGTTACATCTGCTGACTCTTTGGACGCTGATAAAGAGAAAGCAGAAGAAATTGACAGAAAAGCAAACAAATGTATATTGATATTTTATTTCTTAACTCTTAATATCATTATTATCATTTAAAATTCAATGTTCTAAGCTTGCTTCTTTTTTATAAATAGCTTGGTATCCAACTAATTTACTTACTGGAAAAACTGTACTACTTTATAACATGGCTGTGGCGTATGCAATTCGTGGACAACTTGATAAATCAGCGGATATTATAGGACAGGTAAGAAAATACTCGAGTTATAAGTAACTGTTAAAACTGTTCTGTCATCTATTTCACCTTTTTTATAATTCGATTAATTTGCCATGAAATTCAGGTTTTCTGTAATTATATTTAAGAAGTATAACGTTGAAATACCTAATTATTATTATTTTAACTGTGAATCAAATTTAAGCATAATGTTTTGTTTAACAACCTACATTTGCAATTACTTTTTAGTTATGGAAATCTAAAAATACAGAATATGAAGTTCCAATTCATGTGATTATGTTGGCATTGTACATCGAACTACATTTAGGTAAAATAATTTTTGCCAATTATTAATATTTTTAATCATATTTGCCTGTGTGAAATTTCCTTAGAAAGATTATTATTTTATTTAAAAAAAAATACTATTAATAAAATGAAATGATTAAAAATACTTAATCGATTTATCTTGCTGTTACAGGTAGAACTGATAAATGGCGTTCAATTATTCGAAGAAATTATCCTCAATATTTTATTTAATTTATTTTATAAATTTTATGATATTAAAAATAAAGCAATAATTTTTGTAATTATGAAATTTATTTTCCAAGACTCCTATACAATTAGTAGTGCGTTTTGTTAAGGAGCGTTCACAAATAATGTCACGCACAGAAAAGGGAGTTAAACGTGATACAATGTATTTTTTCTATAAGAAAATATAGTAGGTAAAATTGTGTGACATCATTTTTTGTGAACGCTCCCCTACCATAGTTCACTGTCGTCACTTTTTGACAAATACTTTATTCTCCTGCAGCAAATTGATATTTTTTAAATTTGATTTTTATAGAATAATGTGATTTTTTTAAAACAAACAACTCCAATTAAATTTTTAATCCATTCAACATCATTTATATTTTTTACCACCATTTATTTAAATTATATAAAATTTTACAAGATTCATACAATTGTAAAAATCTGAATTGAACAACGATTTTGCCAACAAAAAATATATAAGTAATACTACATTTGTGTAGAAGAATTTTAGAGACTCATAATTTTTGCTCTATAGTAGATTTTAATTTAGAAGCAAGGAAATAATATTTTGTAACGTTTCGGAAAAGTAGTGAAATGCAATTCACTCAGACGATCATGTAAAGTCACAAAAATAAATTAAATATAAATGAAGAAAAATTAAAAAAAAAAACTTATTAAATACCTATCAGGTAGAACAAAAATGCTATTATTCTCGTACTGACATCAATACAGTAAAATATGACAGTGATGTTTGAAGAACCTATATAAGCAATTTAATTGGAATTTAATAACTCATTTTATTTTTATCGTTAACCATTACAAATAAGAATTCAGCAATTATTTACGAAACAAAAATTTTTAAATTTCTTACCTTTGTAAAAAACTGCAAAGAAATTATGAATGTTTTGCCAATAACAAAAGTTGAGGGTTCAGCACCTCTTTTCATGATGATAAGTAATAACTTTTTTGTTTCACCCGACAAGTGGTACCAATCTGCATTGTATCTATTATATATTTATTAGTTTAATTTCTTATAGCGGAGAGAAAATATTGGAAAAAACTAGATATCACATAGGTATTTTAGAATTATTTCTGTATAATCATGATAATTCATATGATATCTAAAGTTTTTCTGCAAATCTCTAAGTGGCTTAAAGTTATAAAGACATTGAATTTTTTACTGTCGTTTCTGTTATTTGCTTTAAATTTATTTGAGATTTAGTATAAGTTTAATCCCTTAAACAAAGCTAGAAATAACTGAATTCTTTAATTAACATAATAAAAGCATTACTCATTTTTCGAGTATTTAAATTAAAAGGCACTCAATAAATTGCAACAATTAAAAATAAAACATACATGCAGTCAGAAAGACAAACGCTCGTATCAAGTAAATGCTGAGTTGGGATAGTTACGAGCAAAATATGAATCACTTGACCACACGTGTAAGTTCCAAATCTTATGGCATCTCTAGTATTATTCATACTCATCACAGACTAAATACAAATATAAAATTATAGTGACTACAATAGTTTTATTAACTTTAAAATCTATGAATTTTACAGTAATAACATCTATGATAAGTAATGTTTTAAAAAGGTGAATAATTTACCTGTACGCCTGTGATACTTAAAATTATTATACAAAATCCAAATACTATAAGATAAGCAGTTGAAAACACTGACTGGATATCATTGACAAATCTCGTATAGTAAAATATATATAAATAATATTATTTTGAATTTATTACTCAGTGGTATTTAATAATTGAGATGATATGATATCGACGACTCCGAGTCAGGTTAACTCTTTTATTAAAAATGTGCAAAAAAATAAACTCCTCAACATTATGATAGACACATTCATTATATATTCATACTTATACTAATAAGGTTAATGATCTTGTTTTCTAGTTTAATAATTGACTATACTTGAGTCGAAATTTTTCCCTCTTTTCACCCTCGATTTTCTCAGCCTCTTTTCAGCCTGAAATCATGCGCTTATTTCCAAATCTCCATGTTTAGAGGTTGAAAAGAGGTCTTGGAATTTTTTCTTAATTTCAATTTTTCCAAGTTTTATTCCTCCTAAAAGTTTTATAGTATTACGACAAAGACCAATAAATATATCTTCAATAGGGTCCATAAGAAAAAAAATCCAATTTTTACATTTTTAAAATTTTATTTTTCGTTTTTTTTTGTTTTTTTATCCTCTTTTACGCCTCTCTAGTCATCTTTAAACCCTCCTTACAGCCTCCAATATAGCAGATATTTCCACTTTTGCAAATTCGAGGTCGAAAAGAGGGTATGAAAGTGTTGGAGAGAATAAAAGGAGGGTAAAAGGAGTTTTTAGAGAACTTATAGAGAGTCTAAATTTCGACTCGGGTAGTGTCTATTAGTGATTTTATACTGATCTAGACGTTTCATTGACTATAACAAATTTATAAATGTCTTAATTTTTTTTTCAAATATTTCATTCTTTATTTTTATTCATCTTATTTTTCTTTTGAACGTAAAATTCTTTATTTATATTTTTTTATTGCCGTGTAATTTTGTTTTTTTAAGTGATCTTTGTAAAATAAAATTTTAGTTTCTGAGGGCTGCTGTATGCCCTTGAAACGTAAAGAATAGTTGTTTTTGAATTTGTTTTAATTTAATCTGACTCGAAGTTATCGTTATCATCATCTCAATTATTATAAAATACATATATAAAATTAATTGAGTAGAGACTGTGCGAGTTAGTACTATACCCAGTGGGCACACTTTTCGTTTTATTGATAACATTAAGTTATACCTTTTACGTTACTATATGTTACTATTTTGAAGTCTATTTGTTACTGTGTGCCCACTGGCATAACTTAAAATTTATGTCTTCCCACATATAGCACGATATATTACTGTGAGGTTATTGCATGCTTATATAACAGCAGACTTAAGTAAACTTAAAATTTCTGCCTTACATAATAGCTTACATGGAAATGTCACTGCTCAGATAGCACATCTTTTTGCAACAAAAGTTTGCAGTGTTTTATGCGCATAGATAAATGTCGTTAGGTGTCAAGTTTGCAATGCAAGTTTGCGTAAAGCTTACAGTGAAAGTTTGCTTGTAAATTTTCATAAAGTTTGAGATATGAACATACATGTTCTTAAAATGTTTTAGAACACTATTCGGCGGACAAGAAACGTTCTAAAAACGTTTTTATATAACAAACATGCGTTTTTTGTCCACTGGGAAGCCATTCAAATAAGGATGCAATATAACCTTACTATGAGTATAATATATCGCGTGCTATATATGTCTTTACACGGAGAATTATGAATATATATCTACACTGAAAAAAATTTATCCGAAATCTTCAACTACCTTTGGGTAGTTAAGTGAAAAGAAGTTAAAACAATTACTTTCTTAGTTATAGTTTAACAATGTTTGTGTAGTTAATTTCACTATTTCTTAAGTAGTTAAAAATTAGTAGTACAATTAACTTAAAAATGTAGTTAGAATTTAAAACTAACTACAAAATCTTATTGTATCAACTACATTCTTAGTTATTTTAACTACTTTTTAGTAGTTAATACAACTTTTAAAATTGAGTTGAGGACCTATTGTACTATACAGGGTAGTTAAAAAGTAGTAAAATCTACTACTTATTTTTTTGAGTGTACATAAATATATGAAACTTATTGACAGAATTTAATTAAAAATGAAAGAAAGCCCATTCACATTAACTTCTCAGTTTTGGTTTAAAAAGTCAATGCTGTTTTTTAATTTATTAGTGCTTTATTAAAATTGAGTTTTTAGGATAAAATTGGGTTATACAAACAATAGAGCTTTTATATGCATTTCCACACAAAGCTTAATTTCCCGATGAAGATTTTTTTCAAAATTGGCTTTATTAGCGGAATTATAGTTTTCTGAAACAGCAGTCGACAATTTATGTCTGAAAAAATAAATAAATAATTTTTACAAAAAATAAGTTTTTAGAGAAAACTTAACACCTATACAGATCTAGCGCAGTCATACCTTATGCATATCTGAAAATTCTATTTTTATATATATTTACGTGCTATAACTATTATTATAATAGAACTTACCCTATAATTTCAAAAATTGCGCAAGCATGCTCAAGAAACATTAAAAGAACAGTATCTCCATTTATAATCACAGAAGTAAAAATATAACTGCCTAATAGACTGTAGAGAGTTATCAAATAATAATATTTTTCTGCGCTTATGCCAAACTCAAGAAGATAGACAAATGGCTTTTGTTCAGGACTATTTTTAGAAATGCCAATCAGCAGAGGAATTAAATTTAAAGACAAGTAAACTGTAAGTATTCCAAAGCTACCAACTGAAAACATATATACTATACATAGAACGTACGTTTGTGGCAAGATTGTCACGCAAGTTTGCCGCAAGTTAGCTTGTCTTAAGCAGGGACCTTTAAAGCTTGCCGCAATCTTACGTGCCATCTGGGAACAGTTTTAATACATATTAAAGGTATAAAAAATGTTATTTTAAAAGTAAAAATTTACACGTGAATATCATAGTGTAGATTTTGCACCTTCTGGCAAATTTGTGTAGAATATTAGTGTCATATTTTGATGTTAATACCTCCCAGTCATTTTGCATTTTCAAGAAAACTACATTTATCTGTATAAATGTTACGCATTTTATTTTATTCGGAGACAATTGAAAAACTCAGTTATACATAAACATCAATCTTATATGCTCTCTGTTAAGTTATTGCATTTGTAGATTTATTGTATATGTTTCAACACAATGAAAATTAAAAACAAAAAATTTTACTATATTTACTTGTTCTTCTTGTAGATTGTTATTTATAAATAAAACTGTAGCTGCTAAAACATAACATACTGGTGGGATACACTCCAATACCAAATCAATATTGCCCAATACTTTTATCATTCCTGCAATCTAATTTTATTGAATATTACATTTATATATGATTTCGTTTTCTTAAAGTTTTGACAATTCTTAAGTTTCTAGAATTCTGAAATCGCCACGTTTGTGCTTTCAAATAAAAATATAAGCATTGTAAGCGCGATATGGAACAAAAGTCAGCACAATTTGTTTAAGTTAATATTATTATATGTTTATATATGGACTCATCTCTGCCGTACACTGAGAAAATTATTGTGAGACAGACAAAGGTTATACTGATGCCTCAGAGTCCGCTATTCGCCCAGAAGAATAAGCGATAGAATCTACTCCTCAGCACTGTAAAAACTGGCCGTCTTAAAAGTGCAAAATACGTCTTGTTTTAAGACGTTTTTCCCGTTTAAGACACCAAATGTGTCTTAAAACAAGACGTTTTTTGCACTTTTAAGACGGCTAGTTTTTGCAGTGAGGGGCCCACTGCTGGACTTCTAAGAGATTCTCGCTTTTTCTGGGCGACTAGCGGATCCTGAGGCAGAAATCTCTGGTTGCTCGCATGAAAATCCAGCAGTCAGCCAGCCACCATATGTGTCCTGACGCGGTGAAAGGGCGACCTTATAGACTCCATTATAATTTTATACTTATAACTATTTTTAAAACATTTTTAAATAAAAACAAATTTAAGTATTGTTGCAAAGTAAGGTCGCGGCATCGCCGTTTCACACGTTTGTTTGTAATATTATATTGCTATATAGTTATAAGAAATATAATATTACCTGGGCACCAAGGAAAGAAAACATTATGAAAAGAAAAAAAGATTTTATACAAAAATTTATCCACTTCAAATGATATCGACTTTGCCCAGTTGTTATTATAATATATCGAATAAGGTTATAGTAAGGATTCTCTAAAATGTCCATTTCTCTTTGGTGTTAATACAATATATTGGCAAAAGATACCATACGATATATACATAGTAGCACTTTAATTTCATTCACAAATCAATAGAGTTTATAAAATATTTAATATACAGTTTCAGGAATTTCCTTAGAATTGTTTATGTACGTCACCTACAATTATTGTAATGATCTTTTCTTCATACTGAAAGGGTTTCTTGATAACTGTAAGGGATATATAGTTTGCAATACTAAGAAGGACACTTTGTAAAGTTTTGTACCTTCAGTAAATATTAATCAATTCTATGCGCGTATAAAGCATATAGGAAGCTTGCAGTCTTCGTCAGGCTTGCATTGAATTTGTACGTACACTGAAAGACTTTTCGTTTGAAAAATTAATATGAATTGTTTGAAAATGAGGATAATTTTGTTTTTATGCGTTTTAGTCGTATGAATGTATCAGTATGTTTAAACCAAATCATACCGAAAATTAGTATGTTCATATTAACTTTCAGTATTATTTGGTTAAAAATTGTTACATTTCATACGACTAAATCGCATAAAAACAGAATTATCCTCATTTTCAAACAAATCATCAATAAGTATATGTCAATTTAAAGAGTGAAATTATTTCATACTGTATAAATTGTAACGCTTTAATTTTTTAATAAATAAATGTCTCGCATAAAACTATAGGTTATTGAAAATTACACTCAAATCAATTCGATAACACATCACTTTTAATTAACAATATGCGACCTCGATTATTGTTTGTTCTAACGTACAATATATTGCAACTTCTTGAGAAAGACAAAAACTTGCCAAAGAATATTTTAATAATAATTTAAAATTCATCAGTAGCGTTTTACTATACATATCATTTACATGCAACAATGGTAAGAAATGTTTCTTAGTGCATCTATAACCTGTAGACAATGAGACGACGACATGCAGATGTTATTGAATTTTATCAATGTGATAAAAATTTTCGTCAAATATTGCTTAAAAAAATTGAAATTCCAAAGTAATGAGAAAAGTAACGATTTTGTCGTTAAATTATACCCAAAAAGAGTAATTTACTGTTATCGTGACATTTTCAAAATATTAACGCATTACCCCCAAATCTTATTATATTTTTCTGTTTTAATACTGTTATTATTGTTTATAATGTAATTCAGAAGATACACACCTTGAACTTTAGGTAAAATCATAATAAATAATTATAAGAATATTAATTTTAATTATTAAAATAATGAGGAAATAAAAAACCATTTTAATTCGTGAGCACATTTTTGAAGAGAAAAATCGCAGTGAGTGATCTAGATTGAAACCACGCCTCATACGTGAGACATGCGTTCAATACATAATGTTGAATAAGAAATGCTTGCTTCCGATTGGTTTTTCCACACCCATGTTCACCCTTGTATGTTGCACGCATGTAAATACGAAGAGTTGACGCTTGACTGTTTGGCGAGCGAGTCGCCCAATACGACAACATTCAACTGTACTGGCGCACATTCCTTACACGCCCAAATGCATATGGGAACTTTACTTCCATTTTAAAGGGGGAAAGAGTCCCTCTTACCACGCAACCACTTTAATTCTTAAGATGCAGAACACAAGGAGTCTGCCTCCCTTCCATCACATAAATGACGAAAAAATTTTACGACGATGAAAACGTATGTTTTGTTCAAATTTCCCCAACGAAATATTACAATTGAGATATAAATGCTTTTTTCACAATATATATGTATAGCAATTAGATGATAATATTAATCAATAAAATTATTATAAAATAAAAATGTGATTTTCATTTTAACGAAAAAACTTGCCAAGTTTTAATTTCACATTTATCAAGAAACTATAAATGTGCAAAACCCTTAGAAAAATTTGGATTGATATTCAATCAGTTTTGATAAGATATTCAGAAGCATTCCAAAATTTGTTTTCAAGCCGCAATCAGTTTTTATCCGAATCTTTTCTCTCTAAATTTGAATCAGTGAAAAAGTCACTGGTCTCAAATCAGTCGCTAAATTCTATAGCTACTTGAATCAGTAACATTTTTCACTGATTTTCAGTCAAAGTAATTGATTCTCCAGTGAAATGTCACTAACTGTCAGTGAAAACCACTGATTCAAATAGCTAGAATTTAGCAACTGATTTGAGACCAGTGACTTTTTCACTGATTCATATTTAGAGAGTTGTGTGTAACTCAACAAAAAATTATTTCCGAATCAATCCGCTTCATTTCAAACCGGAATAATATTTTAAAACTGAACACCATGCGTACTTATGTGTATAACGGGAAGTATATGCACAGGAAATTTTTTAATACAATTCTAAAACAGTCAATTGAGAAGCGATGAGAAATGAGAACTATATGAGATTAAAACAAAAATTTAAAATAAACTGATCGAAAAAGAGACAACTTCATAATCTAGTGAGATAAGAAATAAGATAATTGAATTTCCGTTAAGGGATCGGAGAAATTTCATGGGGCGAAAAATTCGCAGCGACAAGCAAAACTATCATCAAACGTTGTTTTTTTACGTGTTATTTTATTTTTTTTAACTCAAAACAAATATAATGAAAATTAAATTCAATCATTTTTTTCTTTTTATATTTTCCTTTTTTTCCACGATTTTTAAATTGAAAAAATTTTTAAAAAAGAAACTCATGACATTTGACATTCAGGTTATTACAACAAATTTTTAATCGCCGCTGCGTCAAGTTAATTTACCGCATGTTTGTATATCGCCAAATCGCCGCGAATTTTTCGCCCCATGAAAATCAGCCTTTATTAATTTTTTAGGTAGAGATAAATAAACATTTTTTTCATAAGTTTTAGTATATTTAAGTGAATAAAAGGTTTTAAATAATGTTATTAGATAAGAACTATATATTAATAAGAAATAAAATTGCAGAATTGATAATTGTTGACATATCCATTCCGCAGAGGGCGCTTTATCCGTAAATATTCTTTGTAAAGTCGCTCTGGTACTAAAAAACGTGGCGTGCTTTTGAAAGAAAAAACGTCATTTTTCGACTTTAAATAAATTATAAAAGACATAAAAATGAATTATCAGCATCCCAGTTGGTACAAAAACAAATGAAATTAATTTAAATAATTAATATACCACACGGAGAAAAATGAGTCTTTTCTATTATGGATAGCGCATTTTTAGGTCTGGTAGCTAATATTTAGCTGCCACAGCAAAACAGGTTAGCTATGGAATAAGCTAATTATTAGCTGTATTAGCTAAAAATAATTGCTATATCCATACAATAGCAATTGGGGTTAGCTAAAGTAACTCAATTTTAGCTAATATATTTTTCTCCATGCGCATCTGTTGAAATTTATATGAAATTATAAAATTTATACAATTATTTCACATAATTCACTATACACGAGGAAGTAACTGACAGAAAAAGAAGAAGAAATTATGAAAAATATAAAGGAAAAAATATACGATTTCATTTGGGAATTTTCAGTTGGTTATTTTATGTCAACGATACAGTTTACAAAAATTAAAAATCATTTAACTAAAAATCAAATGATATTACTGCAATTCATCTAAAAAGAAAAAAAATTGGTGCTTTGTAGTATATCTTCGCTGAGTTAGAAGCTCAACTCTTACAGTATTCAAGACTGATCTCAACTGAGAGAAAACAAATTGTCACCATCTGGCGGCGTAAGTGTGGAACTATGATGATAAGATATGGGAATTTCTAAAGTTCCACACTTACGCCGTCAGATGGTAAGAGTTTTTATATAAGAGCTGAGATTCTAATTCGGAACAAGTATTCCAAAGCACAAAATTTTTTTCTTTTAAATAAAAAAAAATTTAGAAAAAGCTAACCTTACATTTAAAGTTTGTCCTACAATCTTTCTATTTGTAATTATAAAAAAAATACTCAACAAAAATAATTATAATTAATTATTTTAATTTACAAAAAAAATTGACAATTTAATTTTTAAGAAAACTTAAAAATTTGATTTTCCTAAAAATTGTTTTTCAAAATTTCTGAAAATTTTCCGCATATTGTTTTTGAAACTTTTCATTACAGAACCAATCGGGATTCCTTTTAATTGTCTATAAAACTTTCTATTAAAAATTAAAAGAAAGTCGAACTCTTTAAAAATTCAATTCCTTTAATAAAATCTTTATAATTAAGACCAGCGCAAATTTCTCAATATCTTTATAGAAATTATTTCCACATGAAATTTCTATAGAACAATTTCATGTAGGATTGCAAACTGGTGCATTAAGAACCATCACGTAAAACTTTATAAGAAAGAAGTAAGGACTTAGTTCGTTTTGTATTGGGGATTAACGCTGTAAAAGCCTCTTGAAACCAGTTAGTAATAGCCATTGTCCAACTTTGCTTTATTAGGAGTGCAGATTTAACTGACGTGAGTGTATATAAGAGTCTCGTACAACTTCATATAATACAGAAAATAAATAAGAACTTGGTTCACGTTGCATTGGGAACTATTATTTATAAACCAGATTTAATCAACACCTCGCAAAACAAGCAATAATTTTTAACGCTCTTTTTAGTAATATTATTTTTTCTTCTGAATAATGAAAATATTTTATGTCTTTAATAAATTAATGTTTCAATTTTCAACCTGTTTGTTCTTATACAATTTTCTTTTATAAACATATTTTAATGAGTTTTACACTAAATTATTCCATTTCTATATATAAGGCTAAAAAATACATATACAAAGATTTCAGTAAACAATAAATTTATCAGTTTTTTTCTTCTAGTTTCATTTTGAAAATACACAGCTGAACGGTACCCCTTAATTCTAACGTCACAAGCTTTTGTTATTCGCTGAATGGATAAATAACATAAAGTAAGCATCTGTAGAAGAGTTTTGAATTTAATGCCCATGACGCGTTTGCTCATTGTTTTAATTAATATGCCACGTGTTCTCTTGTTCTCTTTACGTATGGCTGTCCTTCTATGAAAGAACAAAGAGTGGATCGATAAAGCATCTGTCGCCTCATTGTTTACGCCACCAAATGCAAATGTGGGCAGGATTCAATATTGTCTAAATCTTCTGTATAAGAAAGTGTAGTATATTGTACAAAATTAGTGAGAACACTTATTTC